ACCCTCCCGCCTCCTGGCCCTCCCCTGCAGGTTTCTGGGAGGGCACTGATCTCTCCAGAACATGCCCCAGGCTCTGTGGTGGCCTGTTTCCTGATTACAGATGAAACTAAGCCTTAAAGCTGGTGAATCACTAGCAGTGGCCAGCCAGGGCCTGTTGGGGTGTCAGGCAGGAAGGGAGAAGCCAAGCTCCCGTCACCCTTCCCTACTCCCGCCACCTCCAGCCGCGCCATCACGGCGTGACCTCCTCAGCCTTTGGAGTCTGCTTGACACTGGCTGGAAAGGGTTCTAACCCTGGGTGCAAGTGAGTTTGAGCAACTCTTAGAGGCTGTGCCCCTAGCCTCCTCCCCATCCCCACCCCCGCCACTCCCTGGTCCCAAAGAATCCATCCTATAGTTCAGGCACCCTCCTCCCACCCCTGGGCTGGCAACTCACTGATGACATGCAGGGAGGGACTGCATCACCATTTTAGAGGCAAGGAAACCAGCTCAGGGGGAAGGAACAGGAGACCCAGAGAAGGTAAGTAGGGTGCAGGAGGCTAAATCCCTGTTTTCTGCCTCCCAGAGGGATTTAAAGCAAGACCAGCCATTTCTTGATCTTAGGTCACCATCTTAGAGGACAAAGGAGTGAAAAGGATGATTTCCCAGCTCCTATCCAAAGATCTGGAAGCATCTTATCAAGTGTCCCAAGGCTCGAGGCACATGCGCACACTACCACCCGAAGGCCAAGGGCCCATGTCCACAATCAAATCCCAAGTCAACTCTTGAGAAGTCACAGAGTTATTGGCCAAGTGGCTGCTGTAGGCCTCGGTTTCCCATAAGGCTGTTATGAGGGTCATGTGAGTTAACACAGATAGGGCTTACAACAGGTGGCATGTACTCGGAACAGCAGCTTTTTTTCAAACAGTATTTTAAAGGGATGGCTTCCCAAGGAGGAAGCATTTAGAGTGAATCCTTGCTGTCATCAGAGAAGAATGTGCCTCATACCTGCCTGGCAGAAAGCTCAGGCCTGGGGCCTTCTTAAAAATCCCAAGGCCTGTCCCACCCCAGACCTGCCAGGTCAGAGTCTGGGGATGGAAAGCTGGTATTTTTTAATAAAATCCCCAGGGAGTTCCTTGGATCAAGCAAGTCTGGGAATCCCAGGGGCAAAGTATCAAGTCTTTTTTGGAAGGCTCTTCTGATAACTCACCCTTCCACCCACCTGTCAGTATGTCCTTGGGGGAAAACCAACTTTCTCTTTTTCCCAAGTAATAATAGTGCTTGTTACCTGGTATAAGTGCCCACTAGTGCCAGGTGCTTACAAAATTAATTCCATCCACCAACAGCCCCTGGGGCAGGTTCTCTCTTTAGCCCCATTTTACAGAGGCGGAACTGAGGCCAGAGAAGTTAATAACTTGCCCAAGGTCGCATAGCCAGAACATGGCGGGGCCAGGACTTCTCCCCCATGCAAGCAGCCCCAGAACCTTGGGGAAGTATCCAGATGCTCCAGCAGGCCTCTCAGGAGCAAGAATGCCAACAGTCTTCTCCAGGAAGCTTTGCAAAGTGAAAGGCTAGGGTCCCAAGCCCAGTCCCCAGGGCCTTCCCCTCACCGTGTCTAGACTGCTTCATTGAATCAAATCACAGTGGTTCTTTTACCTAACTCCCCACTGCCTCCTGGCCTGAGGCAGAGAAGGATACTCCAGAGCCCTAGGAAACCCAGGCTCTGAGACCCAGAGAAATGAGCTCCTTCCCCATGCCTACCCCATCCCTCCACTCCCACAAATCTCCCCTCGTTCTCTCACCTGCTCCTTTCTCCAGTACTACCATATCACTAACATTTCTCTGGAAATGCCATATTTTTGACCAGGCTGTTTCCTGGCCAGACACATCCTTTCCTGATGTTAGTTTTCCATGTTGAGAGGGTAGCCTCCTCCAGAAAGCCTTCCCCAATTACCCCCTCTGGGTTAGCCAGCTCCTTTGTGCCCCTACCGCCTTCTAGGGAATGACTGTCTCAAGCACTGATGATGCTGTGTCCTAAGGGTCTGTCTCCCAGTACTCTGAGCTGGAGATGTGGGGCGGGGAGGGGAGAGAGAACACGGGTGTCACTCACCTCACCTCCTTCTGGGTTAGAGGTAGGGGAAGAGGTAAAGGGCAGTCTCCCTCTGCCTGGCCTCTTCCCGCTGGCCATGACCCTCAGGCCCAGTCAACACCTGTTGGGCAACCATGGGGTGGACTGGCCAGGGCTGCCTGGGAGGTGGGGGGGGGGGGCAGGGCTATTTGCTTTCCCAGGCACCTTTGGCCAGCCCCACCCCTCCATTTATGCTCCCCTGCTTGGATCTGGGGCTCCGAACTGGGAGGGATTCTTTGAGCTGTGAAATGGCATCTTGGTCTGAGGTCTCTCCTGCTGGACCCAAGCCTCCTGGCGGCCCCGCCCAGTCCTCCGGGACATGGAGGCCGCAGGGAAACGGGGCAGAACGACGCTGACACAGTTGCTGGCCCATTGCCCCAGCCCAGAAATGAGAGACTGAGGCTGCCAGGGCCTGGTCAGTTAGAGCCGAAGCCTGTGGCCCCAGCAGGCAGAATTGGGGTCTGGCCTCCTCCTCCCAGGCTCCCTCAGCCCATCCCCCATCAAAGCAGGAGGGGCAAGAGGAAAGTGGGGCGGTACACCCAGACTTGTGGGGGGCTGGGCCCTGGAGCCGGAGATGCTTCCTGCGGACATTCTGGACGTTCAACTCCCACATTCCTGGCTGTCTGAAGACTCCTCACTCCTCCTCCTTTCCCGCCCTCCCCAGCAGCGCAGAGGGAGGGTAGTGCCTGGATCCCGTAGCTGCTTGGGACCTGTACAGATATGTGGGGGCCTCCCGAGGGGGGACTGAGGTCTAGGCTAAAGGGGCTGCTCCAGAGGCCTGTCCAAGGCACCGCCCCTGGGGGTCCTGTGGTTCTCATAAACAGGAAGTGCCCCCCCCCACAGCCAGGCCCCCGTGTGTGCAGACGCTGGGCTCTGGAGGCCTGGCGGCCCCTGACCTCTCCGGCTGCTTCCTGTTAGCTGGGCCAAAGGAGAGAGAGGGAGACAGAAATGGCCTGAGGTGGGGGAGAGGCCCAAGGGAGCATAAGAGCAGAGGAAAAAGCACAGGGAGGCGATAGGAGGGAGGCCAGAGCAAGCCTGACACATAGTAGGCACTCGAATAACCCAGCCTGGGGTTGGGTAAAGAGAGGGCCCAATCTGGAGAGCGCAGCACAGCTCAGGGGGGGAAAAAGAGGCTGGAGAATCCCACCCTGCTCTCACTGAAACCTAGCGCACAGTAGGTGTTCAATAAATATTTGAGACCCATGTTTAGGATAGGCAGGGAGGGAGTGTTCTTGGGGAGCAGCACTATGGGGGATGGGGAGAATGGGGCTCCCCTGGGCTGACCCCTCCCTGTGGGTGGACAGCCCCCAAGACTCAGCATCGCATTGTCCTTGTCTGGCCCCCAACCCTCCCCATAGCTTGCAGGGCCAGGCCACTGGCTCAAGGCCCTTTATTTTTAAAATCCCTGTGGTATTCCCACCCCAAGCCGAAGGAGCAGTGCCAGCCACAGATCCGCCTGCGGCCTGGGCTCAGGGCCCAGAGGCGCCGGGGGTGGGGCATCCGGCCATCCCACAGCTGCCTCTGCAATTCTGGGAGGGCTACTAGGCCAGCCAGCCTGCCTGAGCAGGATAAGGGGGCCCCCGGGGTGCCCCCACACTGGGCCCAAGGTGTTAGTCTGGGGTGCTAGGGGAGTAACCAGATTTGTATGTTGAATCCAGGGGCTTCTTCTATAAAGCGAATCTTTGTCTTCGCACGTTCTACCAAACAAATCTGCCCACAACACCTCCTGTGTGTAAGGAAGGAGGCACAGGCTAGACCTTCTGGGAGGTCCTAGGTGGGGCCTGCAGAGGATGCAGAGGTACAGTTGTGGACTATTCTGGAAAGAGCCCCCAACTGGCTCCAGTTCTGGGCTGTGTGGCTTTGGCCTCTGAGCCCCAGGCTCCTCCCCTATAAGATGGGACAATAATAGCTACTGTGGAAGGCTGTGGTCCATCTCCAGATGCAGCAACGAAAAGGGCAGCCATGGTCCCTGCCTTCACAGAGCTTACTGTCCTGGGGAAATGGTCCTCTGTATAAACAAGATCATGGTGGTCACAAAAGACAGAGCACGGGGTCAAAGGAAGGGTGCTGGTGGGGCAAGGGTAGGGGGAGAAGTTAATTTAGATGGGTGGTCTGGTAGGTTTCTGAGGAGGTGACATTTGAGCTGAGGAGGCCTTTCACTCATCTCGGAGAAGAGTGTTCTGGGTAGAAGGAACAGCAGTGCAAAAGCCCTGAGGCAAGAGGTTGGGGGTAGCCACAGACAATAAGAATGGAAGGACTTGGTAAACTCTAAAAGACTGCATTTGGAAGGAGGTGCTATCATTGCTGTTGACACTATGTCAAGTCTGGGGAGGAGACAGGGATGTTAGGCAGACTCACTGTCAGTCAGCCACCACTGAGACCAGCCCCTGCTTCCCTTCCCCTCGTCTTTCTCCACCTAGAGAATGCCAGGCTCGCTGGCCAGCCAATGTGCTGGGCCCCACAAACTATAAAGGGCGTTCACTCCTGCCTGACTTGTTTTCTCCTTTGATCCTCCCAAAAGCTATGAGGTAGGGTGGGCAGGGCTAATTATTGCACCCATTTGATGGATGGGGAAACTGAGGTGGGGTGGGCACAGGATGGTGCTGGTGGCTTACTGAGATCACCTAGCTCATTAATGGCAAAGGTGAGCCACGTGCCCAAGTAGCCCGGTTCCCAAACTAGTCTATTCACCCTGCAGTGGCCCCTTGGGCCCCCCACCTTGACCCCCAAAAATATTTCCCCGCCTCACCCCAGCATCTGTCCCAGCACCCACAAGTCAGCATACAGACTCCACCAGGAGGTGCCAGCCACCCCCCAAGACTCCAGTGAGAGAAGAATGTGGCCTCACCCGCCCCGTGGGTGCCCTGGCCAGCAGGCTTTGGCAGAAGACAGGCCGGCTGAGTCAACAAGAGGCTGGCAGGGGCTCAAGCTGCCCACTGAGGTGGAGCCAGAGACCTAGAGGGGACAGTCCCCTCCCCACCCTTCACTCTCTGTGAGACCCTCCCTCCTACTCCAGCAGCAGCCAGCCCAGTTAACCCCTGCAAACCTGACAGGGAATGGCCTGGTGAGAATCCACTGGTCAACGCCCTGCATCAAGGTGCTATGGGACCTCAGGTAGGTCACTTCACCTCTCTGGGATAATTTTCTCATCTGTGAGGTCCTCTACTGACCCGTGAGGATGTTGCACAGTGCATAAAACTGTGCAAACCATCACATCTCCCCTCTGTGAGCTGAAATATGAATTCCTGAGTTCAAAGATTCAGCCCTATCGCCCTTCTGCCAGGTGCCAGGTAGGTGCTCTAATGCATGTTTGCTGTGATGTGATGGTAAAGTTCCTGAAACAACTCTGAAAAGTACAAGGAGCCTCATCATCCATCTGCAATAATTATGACACATGCCCCCAACGTGTATTTTTAAAGCTCCTTTCCCAGTCATCTGCTTTGATCACAGGCATTGTTATTATTTCCATTTTGCAGGTGAGAACGGAGGCACAGGGACGCTGAGAAACTTAATCAAGATTGATGGCTGGGACTAGCTGGACCCAGGTCCCCTGACTCCTGGGCAGACGTTTGGAAAGAGGGACCGTTTGTGGTGTCTGTGTACAGCCCCAGAAGGTGAGAGGAGCTGTGAGCCGAGGTCCTGGGGAGTTGATTTCTGCTCCATTTCAGGAAGGAATTCTTGACTGGAGTGCTGTCCTCTTGGAGCAAACTCCAGGTCACCAAAGAGGTATAAGGAGAGGTAATAGCCATTCCGAGCAATACCTGCCCCTCAGGATGGTGTGCAGCACGTGAGATTGCTTCCCACCTTCTGAAACTGAACAGGGACCCTTGTGGCCTCACAGCCATTGTCCTCATGGCGGCAGGGCACTGTGGATGCCACAGACCTAGGCTTCAAGCCAGTGGGGCTGCTTCTGAGCTGTGAGAGGCTGAGGAAGTAGCTTTGCCTCCTTGGCCTCAGTGTGCCCATCTGTACAATGGTGCTGCGAGGGTCAGAGCACATGCAAGTAAAGCCTGGAGCCCAGAGCTCCAGCTTACATCTGGCACTTAGGAAGTGTTTGATAATGCTCCCTTCATTTCTGATAACCTTCTTCTTAACACCAGTCCAGGACAACAGGAGGAAACCAGGAGCTGAGAAGCAGGGGCAAGGATGGGGGTCATTGGCCAGGAGCTGGGTTCAGTTCCCAGCTCTATAATGAACAGCAGGTGCTGCCGTGAGCAAGTGGCCTGCCCTCTTCTGTTTCTGTGTCCACCACAAAAAGGAGATTGTGTACATGAAAGCCATCAGCCCAAGTGGCCAGCTCTGATTAGAAAGCAACAGGCAGACCCATGCATCCTGGAATGAGCCCATGGTTGTAGGGCTGAGGAAGGAGCCCCCAACCCCAGCCAGGCAGGGCCATGCAAAGCCCTGAGGGCTGGGCTAGGCTGGGGGAGGCGACACTGGAGATGCTCAGAGCAAGGCAGGACTGGCCTCCAGCCACCAGCCTATCTCTCAGGCCAGGCTGGACCTCAGAGAATAAGCCATTGTTTCTGCTCCTCAAACACTTTTCCTGTCCCCCCTGGCCCCTCCTCTCTCCACACCCCTTCCCCCCCTCACATGGAGAACAAAGATCTCCTGGAGGACCCCTCCCAGCTGCTCTTCCATCCAGACTGCTAGAGACCCGGTCCAGCTCGGAGAACCCAGCCCGCTCACCCCTGGGACAACAGGTCACCTGGCCCTGACCTGTCTGCTGTCTCTCCCCATCCCCTGTAGCTACAGGGGCCTCAGACCCCCATGACTCCATCCATTCCATCCAATTGTCCTCCTCATGGGTGGGGCTGGAGGAACTGACCCCACATCCTTCCTCAGCCCGCCCCCCACCCCCCTCCGTCCGTCCAATTCCTTGTCCAGTTCTCCGGGAGAAAGGGGGCCCGGCTGGGTGGGGGTGGTGGGCCCTTCCCCACCCCCATTTCCCTATGGAGCAGTGAACATGGAGCCGAAGCTGAGTTGGCCTAGAAGGCTCCAGCTGAGAAAACTCTTGCACATGGCCAGCGCTTTTCCCAGAGCCTGGAATTCCAGAGGCGTTTCCGGCCCTGACAGCTGCCGGCCTCTGGGAGCCATGCTCTCCCTGTGGGCCTCCAGGCCACGCCCTCTAAAATACCCCTGGGATTAACTCCCATCCTGACCTTACTGCTCCTAAGAACCCACTCACTGCCAGGCATCACCTCGAGAAACAGCCAGGCAGGACAGCCAGGGACTAATCTGCCATCACCTGGCCCTCAGACCACCCGCTAGCCCAGGCAGGGCCCTGACCCCCACCTCCCCACCTCCCCCACCCCCATCTCAGTCATCACTCCAGCTGACATGCCAGATACACATACTTAGTGTACCCAGCCTGGGTCTCACACCTGCTGGTTTGCACAGCTCCACATCTGTGTAGAGTCTTATCCCACCTCCTCCAGGGAGCCTTCCTGGAAACCCTGCCAAACCTGTACTGTGTCTGAGCCTTAACTGTCTTAGCCTGCCTGTTTCATCATGTTAGGCTGGGAGCTAGCACACGGTAGGCACTAGCAGATGCTCACCCACACTGAAGGCAGCCATGGGGCATGTAAGCCAAAGACTCCCAGCTCCACTACAGACTCACTGGGCAGTCCTAACAAGGCCTCCCCCCTCTGGGCCTCAGTGTCTCCAGAAGCCCTCTGAGGCCCTGAAACTCCCCATCAAGTACTGCCTCTTGGGACTCTGGAGTAGAGGAAGGAACTAAAGGGCCGAAGGTGCCTTCCTGGAAGCTCTCCATCCCCGGCTCTCATTCCTCAGAGCACATTCTTATCCTCAAGGTCAGCCAAGGAAAAAGCCTATGGGCCAGGTTGCTGTCTGGCCTCTGCTAATGGGGAAATCCCAACAAGGATCCTGAGTCACCCCAGTGTCCGTGACCCCTGAGGGCAGCCATTGCTGGGGGCAGGGCAGTGGCCCAGCCTAGCCCACGCCACAGATACCCTCCCACGCCCCTCCCTAAAAATAACATTCCAGCCTCTCTCCCACTTTCCACAGTAGACCCTTCCCAGCTCATCTACTCTCCAGAGGCCTGCTCTCTCCCCAGCACCACCTGTTGGCAATATTACCCCAAGATACAAAGCCCAGCTCAAAAGCCGCCTCCTCCAGGAAGGACTTCCCCAGTCAGTCTTCTGCCTCCCTGCCCCATTTTACCACTGTTTTAGCCCTTCATCCACACCAATATCCTGGCTTGTGTTTTCCCCACTAGGCTACTAGTCTCTTGGGAACAGGGACTACATTCCTTATTCACCCACCGCTGCCCCTAACAAAGTGCCCAGCTCAGAATTTAACAGACATTATTGTGCCGTAAATGAAATCATCTCTTGAGAAAAAGAAAATGGTAGCAATAGTAATAATAATAACTACCCTTCCTTGTCCATTAACTACAGGTCAGGCAGTGAACTTTATGGCTCACCACAGACCAGGCAAGGAAACGACTTCTCCAAGGTGACTCTGCTAGTGAGAGGCAAAGCCGGGATTTGAACTTAGGTTTGTCTGACTTGGAAATGCATGCTGAGTCATGGAGGTGAGAACATGGGGGATGGTCTCCTTGGCTCCACTGCCAGTCTGCCCTAGCTGAGAACGAGTCTGCAAGTTCAAACCTCTTTGGAAAACCCAATGCTGCCCCCTTCTCCTGCAGTGCCCAGCTGTGCCTGAGTCTAGCCCAGGGAGAGTGTGCCTGGAGTGGTCCCAGGATGAGGGCACCTGCCCGTATGGTGGCTGCAGTCCAGCTGGGATTACCAGACCCGCTTCCTAGGCTGTCCATGACCATCCATTCCCCAAGTGTGCCTTGAGCACAGACATCACCATCTCATGGGAGACCTCACAGGGCAGCAGACAGTAATACAGATGATGGACCAGGTGCAGGGGAGAGGCTCACGCTGAAGGAAGACCTCCACGAGGAGGTGACATTTTAAAGCAGGCTTCAAGGATCTTTTGTCCTGGAGTGACCCGCTAATAAAGGTGAATGAGGTGAGTGAGTGTGAGAAAGATGAGGATATGCTCAGAGACTCATGTTGGTCAGCAGAGGCTGTATGTGGGTCCATGTAAGAGCATCATATGATGGACAGGGAAATGAGTGGGTGAACACACAGAGAGATGGTGGGTGGGCAGATGGGTGCAGTGTGGGCAGTAGGTCAAGGGATGCTGGATGGATAGAGTGGGTGGGTAGGTGGGGAGATGGATGGGGATGGAAGGATGCATGGATGGGTGGGGGGGTGAGTGGATGAATGGACAGGGGTGTACGCAGTGGGTTGACTGATGGGTGGGTAAGTGGTTAGTGATTTCAAGGGTGTGGTAGTAGGTCAATAGATGGATGGATAAGTAAGTAGCTGAATGGATGGGTGGAGGGGTGGGGAAATGGAGAGATATAGGCAGTGAGTAGATGGATGGGCCACTGGATATTCGAGATACAGGACTGGAAAGACCAATCAGTGAGTCAGTAAGCAGATGCAGAAACTGACCAAAAGCCCAGCGAGACTTTGGGATGGAAAGGGTGCATGCTTCCTAAGGAGGGGCTGAGATGTGGCCAAGCCAACTCACTCAGCTCAAGGCTCCCACTCCAAACCTCACTGGAGCCTGGTGGGCAGCCGCTGGCATTCCTTGGTCCCCAAGGCAGAACTACCCCTCTCTAGCTATGCCCTGCCCCCTTCACCCTAGCTCCATAGAGGACTCCCCGCCCAGAACTGCCTCCTTCCCATAAGCTCCATGCCTCCGCCCACCCAGTCTGCAAGGGTGAGTTGAGGGAGCAGCTGAGCTCTGTGATTATGGCCTAGGGGCAATATGGCCATTATGGCCCGTGGTTCCTCCAGGACAGGGGAGGAGACAGGGGCTCCTGAACTCTAGGCAGCCAGTCCCACCAAGCAGCAACCAGTCCCTAGCTGGGAGGCATTTGTTCTGCATTCTGCACGGTGATTACAGCTCCACTAGGGTTAACCCCTGCACTCCTGGACACAGCTTCTTGTCAGGGGAAGGAAGGGGACCACAGAAAATTGGGGGAGGAGAAAAAAATGGGGAATGGGGACTGCCCATCCTGCATCCTTCACAGCAATGCCGATTCCTCTCTTTCTCCCATTTTCCAGAGGAAAAAACTGAGTTGGATCCCTAAATCAGTAGTGGAGCCAGGAACAGGAATGCAGCCTACATGGAGGGATACTTCTATTCAGAGAGAGGCTTCAAATGAAAGGAGAGAGCTTCTCTCAGCCTCAGTTTACCCATCAGTAAAGTGGGGCAAAGAATTCCTGATTCAGAGGTTGTCTCACCATAAGCTAGCAGAGACAAGTGCCTGGGACTTGTTGGGGAGGTTTCCAGCCACTGACTGTTCCCTTCTCCCCAGCTCAGAGCTAAAGAGGATGGAGCAAGTATTAGCAGACCATAGCCGTTGCCATTAAGACTGACTTCTCAGCTGTCTCTCTGGGACTTGAAACAAGTAGTAAATACCCCCAAGTAGCAAATACCCTCACTGGTATTATACCTACTTCACAGACAAGAAACTTGAGGCTCAGAGAGGCCATGTGCCTTATCCACAGTCACGCAATGTCTGGGAAGCTGATAGGCTGAGATCTGAGTTCAGGGTGTTTGGCACACACAGTCTCTGGCTCCATCACTGTCCTTCCAGTCCATTCTTGGCTCAGAGCAAGAGTTTCCAGATGCACCCTTGATCATAACCCCCTGCTGGCTGCTCATCTCTGCCTCCTTAGCTCCCAGCCCTTGACTGTGCCTGCCTCCCATCCCTGCCTCTCAGGGGCAGTCTCCCTTCCCCCTTACCCATGGTCTTCAGCACCTCTGAGACTGTCCCCAAGGCTCCTCGGGACAAAGAACATGCAAGTCTGACCCCAGGGAAAGAGCTCTGACTGACAGAGTCTCAGTCCTACTGCCATGCCACCCAGCAAGTGCTGGAATTCTTTGTGCCTCCGTTTCCCCATCTGTCCAGCTGGAGAAATAACCCCCCTTGTGGCCAGCACAAGGATCCAGGGCGCCAGTGAGAGAGGCATGGTGCTTGGTGGACAGCAAAGAGCCTGGCTCCTCCACCTGCGTGTAAATATGACCTCCCCAGCCAGGCCAGCCCGCAAACAACTTCCTCCAGCCACCCCTGCCTCCTCCGTGTAGATCCTTAGCTCCCACATTGTCTGTGCTGTCTCCTGCCGGGTATGTGTGCACTTCCACTGCTCTACCCTCTGTCTACGTGTCCTTTGCAATTTAGGTATCACCTCCTCCAGAAACTTTGCAGAGCCTCTCAGCTCTGTAGGCTATGTTAGGGGTCTGTGCAAGGGCAGTCCCCAGGGCTTCCTGCCTGTCCTCAGTGAGCTCACAGTCCTAGGGAAGTATCAGAGGAGGGAAAAACAATGGGAAGCAGGGATTAGAGACCCATCTCCCTCCTTGAGAATAGCACAGGGTCCGGTGCCTGGCTATTTCCTTGCCCCTTGTGGTTGTGTTTGGGGGTGCTCAATAAAGCTTTTTAAATCCACCCATCTGAGGTCTGATCTCATTTACCTGTTCAGCAAGCCTCCTGGCAGAGAACACTTAATAACGTCATCTGATGTCTGTTATTATCCTATTTTATATATAGGGACACTGAAGCTCAGAAAGGCTAAGTAGGGGCTCTTATCCTGGGCAGAATAGAAAGCCAGGCTGTTGGGGTCCAGGGCCCCCCCATCCTTAACCACCACACCACTCAAATGGCCTGCTGTGGCCTGCCACCCAGTCTGGCCCAAGCCTGCCACCCAGTCTGGGTGGCCTGGCACCCATGGGGCCTGTACTGGTTGCAAGAAATAGGCTGAGAGAAAGGAAATAGGTATCCCAGTTTGTAGAAGAACTCAAGGTCTAAATAAGCCTTTCCAATCCGACTTCCCGGTTCCCCAAACTCCCCTACGAGGGGCTGGAGCGCCCAGGAGGGGAAGTTACCGGGTCAGGGCGCCCCGAGGCCACGCGCAAGCCGGTGGGGGACGGAGGCTGCCGATGACCCGAGTCGCCTCGCCAAGGCAAACCGCACATTCCCCCGCCCCCGTGCCCGGGGCGACCGGCAAGGGGCTGGCCTGGCGCCCCCGCCGCTCCCGGTCCAGCGTTCGCCACCGCTCGGGGAGCGAGATCGGTGCCCGGGAGGGGGCCGGGCCCCGCCCGCAGACAGGAGGGGCGAGGCGGGAGGAGGCAGCGCGCCCACACCCCGCCCCCGCCCCGGGAGCCAGTCCGCGGAGCCCGCGGCCAGGGCGGCGCAGACCGGCCCAGCGACTCGCCCGGGCAGCGCGCAGGGACGCGCTGCCGCCGCCACCGACGACGCGTCGGCCCTTCAGCGCCCCGGTCCCCGCGGCTTGCGGAGAGAAGGTAACAACCAGCTGGCCCGCGAGCCCGGGGAGGGTGTAGACGCCGGCTGGGACCCTGCACCCTCCAAGGCTCCCGCGGGCTGGGACGGTGCCTAGGAAGACTCAGAGCGCTGGCCGCGGGAGCGGCGCGGGGACGCTGCAAGTTTTGGGGTTTTGGCCTGTTCCCCGCGGACGGAGGGGAGCGAGCGGTAAACCCGTCGCGGGAGGAGGGGGCGAGCAGAGGGCCGTCTGCGCCCCTTCCTGCCCTGGGAAAGGAAGGGAAGGAACGGGGAGGGGGCGATGCGTCGGAATGTCGGGCCCCTTGGCGAGGCCAGAGCCGAGGGCGGGAAGTGGGGGTGGGGGGATCGCCAGGGATATGGAGCAGGCGCCCTGCCCCCTCCCCAACCTCCGCATTCCTGGCCGGAGCAGCGGGTGAGGTCATCCCGTCCGGTTCCCCTCGGGCCGAGACAGCCGGCTGCCCCTTCCTCCGCGGAACGACCCTCCGCATTGTAGCCCCCTGCCTCCCAGAGAGAATGTTGTATGGCTAAAGTCATTCCTGGACTTCCGGTCCCGACTGCCTTCAAAATTGTTTTATCCCTGCCCCAACCATGCAAGATCCGCGAAGTTTGAAGCCCATTTTCTAGGCCGGGAAACTGAGGCTTAGGGAGGCCCCACTGCGCCAACCCGCCACGCCGGGGTGAGAACCCAGGACTAAGGGAGATGGCGAGCAGAGGGCTGATTTGACTCTAACTCCGGGTGATGGGGCAAGAAAGGTCTCTCCCCCTTCCTCTTCCTCCCCTGTGGCCTATGATGCTCCCATCTCCTAACCCCGTGGGAGCCAGGGTCTGGGAACCAGTCCCGCTGGGACTGCAGACAGCTTGTTACCCCTTTCAGGCCCCTGTTTGCCCATCTTTCCACCTGTGGAGTGGAAAGTGGCCCGACCTTTGAGGAGCTTGAGAAGTGAGCCCCCCTGGGAGTTAACCCCTCCCTCCTGAGGCCAGAGCAGCCCTAACCCAGCCAGGGTCCCGCTGTCAGTGGTAGGGGTGGTGGTACCCAGCGGGACACCCTCAGGGAGGGTTCTGTGTACAAGTGAGTGGCCTCCAGGGTGGCAGGTGGTGTCGCTGGAGGACACCGTGGCCTGTAGGTGGCCCCCAGGTGAGCACCAGGATGCAGCCACCCAGCTTTTGTTCTCCCCCAATGTCAGACAGCCCCTGGCTTCCCCCCCACCCACATGTGCCTGCACAGTGGCCCTGCCTCAGGCCTCAGTCAGACCTGTCCTTGCGGTCATTACCACCACTGAGCAAGCTCCTCCCAAGGGCGCCAGCCTAACTATCCTCTGTAGGGTAAATATGAGGACAGCTGGGACACTGAGGCTGTCCAATGGCCACTCTTGCCCAGGTTTCAGGCACTGAATCCACTGAGCAGTCACCTGCCTCCCAGGCCTGCTCTCTGTGCTCAGTGGCTGGGCATCTGCCTGCTCAAACTCCCCCATGCCCCTGTAGTCTAACCCCCTCCCCTGGCATTTACTATTAATGTTGGTAGAAGCCTGTGGAGGTTCCCAGCCACACACCACTTTTTGCTCTGTGACCTAGGCAACTCAGTCTTCTTTCTGTGCCTTGTTTTTTTCATCTGCAAAATGGGTGATGTTAGCATTAGCAAGTAGTAATCCGGGTTGGTGAGGGGGGAGGTAGGCCTGGCCCCAGGACGCCCAGAGCCCTGCTTACTCAGGGGCCAGGGAGGACACACCTGATCGCCAGCAATACACTGTGGTCAGCATCAGGTGCCAAATAGCTGCCACCAAGAGTGCCCAGAATGAGAGGTAGTAGTGTTAGGATGTTGGACCAGTACCCAGGGCTGCCCTGCTCCAGGATCTGGGAGGGGACCAGCCTTCCATGCTGTTCTCATTTTCCACATGGGAAAACAAGTCCCCAATGACAGTGCCCTGCCCTCAGCCCTACAACTCAGCAATGGACACAGGTTGGGGGGTAGGAAGAGAACTTTCGGAGGTGTCCAGAGGCATCTGAGAAGTGGGATCATCACAAGATTGGGACGGAAGCTGGTCTCCCAAATCAAAGTAGCCATGGCTATTGGGTGAGGGCCTGCACTCCTTTTGCTGACAGAACAGGGGCTGCTTTGAGGTGCAGTCTGGAAGAGAGTGGGTGCAACCATATGGCAGACACAGTGACCCCTCCACATGACATTTCAGAGACTCCAGCTCCCCAGTTCCTTCCCCTAGAGATTCATCCTCTGTCATCTCTGCAGAACAGGGAAATCTGGCCAGCAACATGTACATGCCACATGACCTTGGCCAAGTCCCTTCCCACTGGACCTTGGCTCTCCCAACCCCCCAGCTCTGTGGGGCTGCCGGAGATTCACATGATACCACGTAATGGTTGGCCAACTGCAGAGAGCCTCATAACTTCAGCAAACATTCCACGAGGACTTCTTGGTGCAGGTGGGGGGGGAGTATGGGGTGCCAGGGAGAGGGAGGATTCAGCAACCACACCCCCTAGTGGGGAGGAGTTAGGGCGGGGTGGGGGTGCTGGGGGGAAGATCAGATGGTGGGAAGGGAAGAGAATAGTCAGAAAATAAAGCAAGCTTTGTTTTATTGCTTTCTTTGTATCTTGTTATTTAACCTATTTTGAATTTCAAATAGCATTCAAAGGGCAGTAGTGAGAATTTTATGCTTGGAGGTGGCAGCAAAGTTTAAAAAACAAAGCTGAGACTCAGATCTAGGTGTTCTTGTTAAGGATCATTATCAATTAATCAGCTGAGGTCTCAGGCCCATGGAGGTAAGTGACTTGCTCAAAGTCACACTGTGAGCCCCTGAATCCCCCACCTACCCTTACTGGGAAGGTGGCAAGGGGTGATCCTTTGGCATGAACAAAGATCTTTTGGGATTAATCCACTATTGATCTGGCATTTGCCCTGTGCAAAGGCCAAGCTGGGTGCTGGGAGGGAGGGAGGCAGGAAAACCCAGGTTGCTGCTCCGTCCTCAGGGTGTGTGCTGATTTGGGGAGACAAGACTGGGCCCCAGCAGCCAGTCAAAGGCTGTATGAATCAGAGACTCCGAGTTCAAGGCTCAACTAACTTTCTTAATGTGACCTTGAATAAGGTACAGGCCACAGGAAAACCAGAGATTGGACCATAGGCTCATAGGTGTCCACCAGCTTGTACTTTCTATGATATTGGAAGGGATGGGGTGAGACCAAGAGAAACTTTGAGAAGATTTGGGCTGGGAAGGATATAGAGAGGAGATCAGGAGGGGAGAAAGTGGGCAAGGAATAGCTTTTGGCACCAGCTAAGCTTTTTCCAAAACTTGTTCCTTAATGACCACTCTCACATCAATTAGAAAAGCTGTGACAAAGTTCTTTCCTGCAGGCCTTCTCAGTGCCTTGAATATGCTCAGGCATGCAGGAGGCAGCTGGAAAAAGCTACTTTTGACCACAGGATTCTTTTTCCAGGAAGCACCTTGAAGGCGGAGGGTTCTGAGGAACCTCTGGGCAGGCTGTTTACATAGTAGTTCACAAAGCCTTCCTCAGGGCACCACCTCCCTCCTGGCCTCTCTGAGTGGAGGACAATTTAACCCACAGAGGAAGGCTTGCTCAACTAGCCAGCAGGAGGCAGTGTACCTTGGGCCTCACTGGATTTGGAGGACCAGTTTCACCGTTTGCTACCTTCAGCCTCAGACAAGTCACTCCACCTCTTTGTGCCTTAGTTTCTCCTCTAACATAGTGCATCCCCTGGGGCTCATGTGGGCTAAATGAGTCATGGGCATTTAGGTGCTTCGTAAGTGGGCCCCGTACAATGCCCACTCATACTTTTTCTGATATACATCATAAGTGGACAGTTCAATGAATTTTTGTGCCCCCTCCCAGTTGATACCTGCTTAGAGGCAACCACAATTCTGACTTCTATCACTACTGTTTAGTTTTACCCATTCTTAAATCTCCTATGCCTGGAATCACACAGTGTGTCCTCTGTGCACCCACTCAGCCTTGTTTTATGGTCCAGGCCCCTGCTGTTGGGTGTAACCATTCTCTTTGGCTGTGATTATTTGGCTCCTCCAGGTCTACCATTACTTTTCTTTTGTCTTTCTTTCAGGTGTCCACTCCTGGACAGGAGAGGGGCTATCCACATTGGAGACGCATCTTGTGCCTTCTCTGTTCTTAGACGGAGCATCTCCAGTTGCTTTCACAGGGCCAGGAACCAGGCCCAGGCCTCAGGAATAGACAAGTCATGGACCCCCTACAGCCTCAGCATTTGGGGGCAGCACCTTAGGACAACAGAGGGGCAGCCTCCATCTGACCCCTTCCACTAGGAAGAAGGGAGCTGAGAAGTGGACCCTGAGCCCATCTCACTGCCCTCCCCAGGCCGCAGGTGGGAATGGACCAGCAGCTTTGAAAAGCCAGAGCTAATGCCGGGCCCCCAGGGAGCCGGAGGAGCCCCCACCATGAGCCTGGGCAAGCTGTCACCTGTGAGCTGGCTGTCCAGCTCGCAGGGGAAGAGGCGGCTGACTGCAGATATGATCAGCCCCCCTCTTGGGGACTTCCGCCACACTATGCACGTGGGCCGTGGTGGTGATGTCTTCGGTGACACCTCCTTCCTCAGCAACCATGGTGGCAGCTCCAGGAGCACCCACCGCTCCCCCCGCAGCTTCCTGGCCAAGAAGCTACAGCAGGTGCGGAGGGTGGGGGCACCACCCCGGCGGATGGCTTCCCCGTCGGCACTCTCGCCCGCCCCACCCGCCATCTCCCCCATCATCAAGAACGCCATCTCTCTGCCCCAGCTCAACCAGGCCACCTATGACAGCCTCGTGGTGGGCAAGCTCAGCTTCGACCACAGCCCTGCCAGCTCCACAGACGGCCACTCCAGTTACGGTGAGGGCCTGGGCTGTTTGCCCGTTTTTTCAGGTGCTGAGGCTCAGAGGGTTCTGTGGTTCAGCCCAGCCTCCAAATGAGCTCTTTTCCTCCAAAGTAGTTTGGTCTCACCATGGAGGTCAGGCCCAAACCCCAAACTATGAATGGGAGGGGGTCATGGGGTAGGAACCTGCCCATTACCCAAAACACACTGAGGTTGATAGGTGAAGAAGAGATGGGGTTTGAGTTCTATCTGACTCTAACTTGCCTTACCCTCTCTGGACCTTTGCCTGGGCCAACCCACCCTCTCCTGCCACCTTCAACCAAGGCAGCCCCTTGTGTCAGAATGACATAGTGGAGAGACTAAGAGCCGGGACTCTGGATTCAAATTCTGGTTTTGCATAATTCCCAGCAAGCTAGTTAACCTCTGTTAGGTCAAGTCCTAGCCTGTAGAATGAGTCTCTTAGAGTCATAACTAAGATTCAGTGAGGTGATAATATGTATCAGGTGTGGCCCAGTGTCTGGCACATAATAGGTTCTCAGGACATGGAGCTGTTGCTGTGTGGTTCTTTGAACAGAGGTCACTTGACAAATTTGGAAAAAGTGGACAGTTCGATGAATTTTTGTGCCCCTTCCCAGTTGATACCTGCTTAGAGGCAACCACAATTCTGACTTCTATCACTACTGTTTAGTTTTGCCCATTCTTAAATCCCAAAAGGCCCTCCCTTCCTGCCCTGGAGGGGAGTGGCAGGTACCTCCTTGACTGCTGGACAGCTCACCTAGGAATGAAGGCCCCTGCTGCCACCCGGTGGTCATTCCTTGCCCTGTGGTTTTGCTGTACTGCCAGAGGCAGCTCCAGGGACGCCACTCAGAATGCCCCCCCCAACCCCTGAAGGCTGGTCCACTGTAACCCCACTGTGTCTTAGGCCTGGTAGTCCTAGAGCCAAGAACTCGACCAGAGGACATCTGGGGGGCATCTGCCTGTCCTTTGAATCTAATTTCTATGCAGTCAGAACCTAGCTGCTAGTTCAATCCCTGAGCCCTCAAACCAGCCCCATATGGTGCAGGTTCACCGGCAGCCATCAGCCACTGTCACGGCAGGGAACCAGGGGCTGTGGCCAAGTTCACAGTTGGGACCGAGGGTCAAGAGACTTGAGCTTCAGGTTTGGTTCCACCGCATCAGACTCTGGCCCTAGGCAAGCCCTTTCCCTTGTCCCAAACTGAACCTCACTTTCTTCATCTGCAAGATGGGAATGAGGATTATGTCAGTTTTCAGCTTCCAGGGTTAACAGGAGGATCCTATGAAAACTATAGGGTTGACTATATTGGAAGGATGGGAGAAACCGAGGCCGGATAGGGAGTGACTTGCTAGAAGCCATATAGCAAGCTGGGGTTGGGCCTGGCCCTCCTGTTCCCAATTCCTGGTTAGAGACACGAGCTGTGAGACCCTGCTTCCCATTTCTCTTCCAGGCCTGGACTCGGGGTTCTGCACCATTTCCCGCCTGCCTCGCTCAGAAAAACCTCGTGACCAAGACCGTGATAATACCTTCCCCTCTGAGCCAGAGCTTCGCCGCTCTGACTCCCTCCTGTCCTTCCGCCTGGACCTCGACCTTGGGCCCTCTCTCCTCAGTGAGCTACTTGGAGTCATGAGCCTCTCAGAAGCCCCTGCAGCTGAGACCCCAGCCCCTGCTGCAAATCCCTCAGTCCCTGCCACAAGCCCCCGAGCCCCTGCTGCGAGTCCCCCAGCCCCTGCCATAAGACCCTCAATCCCAGCCTCAAACCCCCCACCCCGTGGACACTGCCCCAATGGGGTAACAGCTGGATGGGGCCCAGTGGCTGAGGTGAGGGCCAGTCCTGTAGGAGAGTGTCCCCGCATACCTGCCGACAGGGCCTCTGGCAGGCACTGGGGAGCAGCTGTGCATGGCAGTGGGGGCATCCGCCACTACACTGACATGGATGCTTGGCGAGAGCTAGTGGAGGTGACGCCCCAGGGTGGGGCTTCTTGGGAAAGCGTGGATGAAGAGCAGGGGACAACCCAGACAGGCAGCAGGGCCTCTGTGCCCAGCACAGTGCAAGCAAACACCTTTGGGCTTATTGATGTTGACGAGGATGATGAGGTCAAGGTGTAAATGGCTGGGCATGGGCTCTGGACCCTGCCTAGCCTTGAGCACCACCCATGAACAGCCCCGGTGCAGAGCCAGCACCTCACCTGACAAGAGCTGGGTCCTGCCGATAACATGAGAGAACCTAAGTTGCCCCCAAATCCCTCCCCGCCTCTGCAGGACAGATTGGGAGGGAAGCCAGAGGAGACTAGGCTTGGTCTGGGGCCTGGGTGTTCCCATGGGCCCTGCTGGGCTGACCAGCCTCCCCCCACTGCCACTCTGGACCCAGGGCCATCCTGAGGCCCACCCCTACCCCAACTCCATGCCACCCCCACTGGCCGGAGGGCCCAGTCTCACAGTGCAGCTTTTGTGCTGGGAGAGCTGTCCTTGCTGGGTGGGGGGGTGGGGAGCATTCCACACAGGGCCTTTGTCTCGTCTCCTAAAGGCACTGCCTGCCCCAACTTCCCAGAGCTGCCCCTAGCTGGGTTCCTGCCGCTTCCCTGAGAGCCCCCGCCCTTGCTAAGGCTGCTTTCCCAGCATTCCCACTCTATCCCCCATTTGTCCCAGATGCCTCAGAAGTCAGGTGTGACCTCCAGGGGAGGAATCCCCACCCCCCTGTGCATCCCAGACCTGCCTCTGGGTCCTGATTAAAAAAAGCTTTTTTGATAAAAGGTGTCCTACAAGATGCTTGGGGACCTGAGAGAACTGCATCGGATCCACCGTCAGCACTGGATTTAGAAAGCCAAGGACCTCCCTCAGGACCCCACTGAGGAGAGGGGCCCAGGTAGGGGGTAATGAGTAACCAGACTGGAATGAATGGTCCTCTGATAAGAGGCGCAGGTGGGAGCCCTTATCGGCAGTTCCGGGAGCTGCCCCTGGCCAAGGTGCCAGGAACCAGCCACTGCCCGTAATCCCACAAGACGGCTTGGCACTTGCCCTGGTTATAATAGGAAACAAGTAGACAGGAGCAGGTGCTTAGAAGTATTTGGGAGCCTGTCCCAACCCCCTCCCTTGGTAGGCTATGACCTTGTGCCTCAGTTTCCCCTGTCATGAACTGAGGGCATTCAAATGCCTGGAACACAACCACAGTTTCTGCCACAGAAAGACTAGACGAAGGTGGATTCTTTGGTTTGTTCTTAGTCTTGGGAGAGGAAAATGGGGTCAGAGGGCCCGGAAGAGCAGGTGGGAAGCCAGGACCCAGCGGCTGCTGCCCCTATATGACTGGGTAGCAGTGCAGGACAGGGACTCCATACTGAGGATCCTTCAGGGTCTTCATCCGGCCATGTGCTGCCCACTCAGTCAAACTTGAAGGAGGAGATGTTGAATCCGCCTTCCACACACAGGTAGCTCAGGTGGCTGTAACCCAGCCTGTTGGGAAAGGTCAACTGGTGCCCGTCTGGCAGTGTCATCTTGAACTTGTCACTCTCAAATGTCACGGTGAACTGCAGAGGGAGGGAGAGTGGGTGTCAGGGATGTAAGAGGCCCTGGAAATGGGCCAAGGCAGAGCCCAGTGGCTCACAGTACCAGCACGTGTCTAGGCCAGGGTGCCCTACCATCTGGGCTCTCCCCTTGACCGCTTCCTTAGGCCCCATTCCCCTTTGACCTCACCTTGACCTCTGACCCTGGACTGAAGCACATGTGACTGTTCCGTTGCTCCTGTCCCCAGTTGCCGTCCAGTGAGTTGCAGACAATGACGGATTCACGGATGCGAGGGTTGAAATGCAGAGCCAGCTTATCTGCCTGCTGGCCCAGATTAATCATAAAGCTGCAGGAAAAGGGGTACCAGGTAAAGATTTAGAGGCCAGTTCCAGGTAAAATTGCTGGGGCCACAGGGTTTTGGCTGACCACAAGCTAGAAGAATCATCAAAGAAATGTGTTCCTTGAGGTCTGTGCCTTAAAACACAGGAGCTGGCAACCTGGTCAGAGTCAGCAGTGTAGTATCACATTCCATCGGAGTGTGGCTCTCAACAAAAGGGTGACTGATATTGACACCTTCACGGATTGGGTGTGTCTATTCTCAGGGAGAGAATGGCTGTGCTTAGCTATCTGAAGACTTACTAAGTTTGGCCATAAGCAGTTGTCAATCTAGGTGGTGAGCTCCTTGTCACTGAAGGTTTGTGACCAGGGGTTGTGTGACCTCCTGGCAGGATCACTTCAGGAGCCTGGTTTAGACCTTCAGGGTGAAAGTAGGACATTCTGAGTCATGGGATGCGTTCACTGGGGGTCTCAGACCAGAGAGAGCCCACATTGCTGCAACCTTGGGGGACCCAAGTAAGAGCAAGGGGTGATTTCCCTTGGCTCCTACCCCATGAGGGTGCCTGCCCCTCCCCAACCAAGAGCTAATGGAGATGAGTTCCAAGAAATACTGAAATTATTCTTCACCCAGGAGAGCCTAATGCTGAGCCGGAATGCCTGAGGGGGTTAGACTTGTCTTGATCTAATGGAGAGGAGGATGCAAATGAGGCCGCTTGGCACCCCCTGGTGACTGTCCCTGGTTTAACAAGCGTGAAAGGCATCCTGGGGCCATTGTGCGGGCTAAAGAGGGTGATGTGCTGGGTTTGGGCCTCAGTAGAGGCACCCGACCCACAGGACTGGGCAGAGATCCAAGGGATTCTCCACTCACCCTTTCAGTGTCTGTGGGGCCAAGAAATAGAGCATGTGGCCTGCGCTGTGAAATTCTGAGGGTCCCCAAATCTAGCCTCAGAGGTGTGGGCCAGCCCTATGGGAGAGGAGCCCGCAGGGGTGTGGGAAAGGTGTGAGAGTGAGCAGAGACATCCAAACAGCCCCCTTGGCCTGAGGTCGCTCTCTCCCGATGGTCCCACAGGGCTGCCCTGCCTGCCTCCACCTCCCTGGCCTATGCCAGAGCTGCGGCCAGTGTCCCTCCTTCCCACCCCACCCTGCCTCCCACCTGGCTTACCCACTAGCATCACTGGCGATCTTGCCCTTCAACTTCAGGGTTGTCCCCAGCTTCATGTCCATGTTCGTAATCTCAAATTTCCCCTGCACGAACAGAGAAACGGTCCCACACATCAGTCCCACACATACCCGGCACCCTTCTGTGGGTGAGGCCCACGTGGCACAGGCCTCACTCTTCTTCTGGGCACCTGAGAGCTCTCAGCTGAGAAGGTGAAGAGCCAGAGTCTCTGAGCAAAGCTTTGCAGAGCCCCACTTGCCCATTTTGCTTCATTCTCATCCATGCAGCCTGATTAGAAGAGCTGGATCTGGAGACAGGGCCCAGCTGGGGGAACCTCAGGGTACCCATCTATAAAATGGGTAAAGTAGTCCCTGCTGACCTCACAGCTCCCACATATGTTCAAGTAATGAAGCACATTACCCTCAGAATCCTCCAAACAAGGATACGTTTAGTTCCTGCCCACACTTGGAAATTTTACTAACAGAAAATGACTCTGTCAGAGGCACTCAGGTCTTGGTCCATCTAAAACCAAGAATCTGTAAAACTCCATAAGTCACATGAATTAACATGTCCATCAAAGTCCCTCTCCAAACCTTACTTTCTTCATCTGTAAAATGGGCTGATTCATTCAAAACTTGTTGCTGAGGACCCACTCTCTAAAAGACACTGCGGAGAGCCCTGAGGTTAATAGCACCCATCTTGAGGCTGGTTGGGAGAAGCAAGATCACGTTTGCAAAGCCCCTCATACAGGGCCTGGCACAGACTAAATGCAAATCCAGGGGTGGCCATCATTATGATTACTTATTGTTATTATTCGCCTTTACTCCTTATTTTTCCGAAAGACCTCAGCTGCGCCTAAATTTCTATAAAGCAAGCATTCCGGCAGCCACACCATGGCTAAAAGGAAGGGTCTCAAAGCTGGGTTTTCAAAGCTCATTATCCAAGACAGAGAAAATGTCCACTTTCACATCCATGATTGGAGGGTGCAGGTTTGGGCCTGACGGGATGCAGCAGGCAGCAAAGATTTAGAATACTTTATGGGAGAACAGGTTGACATTGTGGGATTTCTGCTCACTGATGTTTTTGGTTCTTATTTTTTGGTACCTCCTGGGAGCTGCCTGCCTGAAACAGAAGCTCTCAAGCCACCAAAGATGAGGCAGGGGCAGCTCCAGGGCAGGGGCCTCAGAGGCCAGGGTAAGGGGTGCATCTGCATCCAAGTCCGAGGCCCAGAGACAGGAGGCTGGGGTGGGGGTCGGGGGAGCCTGTGGTCAGTGGTCAGGGATCTGGCTCTGGCCCTGCGCCTACCTGGCTGAGTGACCTGGGCCAGGTGTGCCCCTTTCTGGACTTCAGTTCCCCCATCTTTAATATAAGGGTTTTAGACTAGATGGTCTCTAGAGAAGGAGGAAAGAAAGAGTGGGGGGCTGGGGAGCGCCAGGGGAAGGAGGGAGGAAGAAAGTCCCTGGGCCACAGAGGTCCTCCCCGAGCGGCAGAGGAGGAAGAGCAGCCTCCCCTCCACCTGCCCCCTGCTAGTCAGTTCCCATCCTGCCTCCCATCTGTACCCGCCTGAAGAGTGTCTCCCAAAAAGTCAAGTCCACCTTGAACCTGCAAATGTGACCTATTTGGAAATAGGGTCTCTGCAGATATATTCAAGTTAAGATGAGGTTGTACTGGCTTAGGGCAGGCCCTAAATCCAATATGACTGGTGTCCTTATAAGAAGAAGGAAGATGGGACCCAGAAACACAGACACACAGATGAGAGGCCAGGTAAAGACAGAGACAGAGATTGGACTGGTGCAGCTGCAAGCCAAGGAATGCTATAGATTGCCTGCAGCACCAGAAGCTGGAAGAGACTTGAAAGGACCCTCCCAGGGCCTTTGGAGAGAGTGGGCCCTGTCAACACCTTGATTTCAGACCTCCAGCCTCCAAAACTGTGAAAGAATAAATCTGTGAGGGCAGCCATAGGAAATTAATACACCATCTAATCCTCAGGAGACTCCATCAGTGATTCCAGTTCCACAAATGAGGGAAGTTGAGGCTCAGAGAGGGGCAGTGACTTATCCAAGGCCACACAGCAAGCTATGGTAAAGCCCGGTTTGGAACCAAAGAATCAGGGACCTCAAAGAGGATCCATTCAAACCCCTGCAACTTCCAGACTGTGATCTTGGGCAATTTAATCTCCAAACCTGTTTCTTCATCTTCATAAAGCTCAATAGATGTTAGCAGTTATTATTATTACTGCTCCTGTTACCAGTGATGAGAACACTGAGTGTGGAGCAGGGAAGAGACAGGCTCAGGCTCCCAGTAATGGAGGGAGCAGAGAGCCTCCGTGCTAACGGACGTGGAGGTGTCTGTCCAACTTCCTCTCTCTACAGGTGGGGAAACCCAGGCCCCAGTGCTTTTCCCTCAGCAACCCCACCCTAGCCCGGCTCAGGCAAAGCCCGGATGAGTGGAGCAGGTGGCAGTGCGGGCGCCACATCCTCACCGACATGGTGGCAGCTCCTCGCAGCAGCACCCGTGGCTTCTGGAGGTGTGGGCTCAGGATCTCACTTCAGGGTCCACTTATGTCCTGGAATGTTACACATTAACTTCCCCAAGGCTGTAAATGGGGACTTTAGACCCTTCTGCCCAGGTGTCTCTTCCCCACCACATCCTGGTACCCAGAACAAAGAGGCAGCAGGCTCCTCACCCAAGCTGCCCAGCCCAGCCCAGCCCAGAGAATCCTCCCGGGTTCCCTCCCGCCCAGCCTCCCGCCTCCTCCCAGAGCCCCAGGGAGGCGGCCCAGGAGGAGCTCAGGACTGGTGCATGAGCTTGGCAGGCCACCCAATGTCCTTGAGCCCTTTTCCTGGCCCTTAAACAGAGAGACTTGCTTTGTATAAATGTTCTAAGTTTTTTGCTTTCTCTGATATCAAGATTCATTGTGAGGGAATCTTTTGTATCTTTCATCAACCTATGATGTTTGTTCATGTGAGTTTTAAAAGCAATACATGGTGGAGTCAAAGAAAACACCTAGAAGTATCTAACAAACTGTTAAAGTGGAAAAGTGAGGGGGCTGAGGTAAAGGATGTACTGGTGATTTAAATGCTTGGCCCTTCACTTAGGTAATTGCTAATTTACCATAGGCAATTTAAGGTACCAAATAAGAAGAAAAGCAATCACTCTAATCCCACCACCAGTAGGGAATCGGTTTACTCTACTGGCACCTTTCCTGCCATGCAGATTTCTAGGGATTGTCTATCATACACACCCCTCGGTCTATGCAATTGTTTGTCCCATTTCATTCAGTAAACGTTAAAGCCTACAAATCCATATTTCAGAAATATATTTTAGTAGCAGTGAAATACATCACCTTTCAGTGACTCAATTTATTCAACCAACTTCCTCCTGCTGAGCACTTAGAGGAACTCTTCAAGATTTGCTGTTAAAAGTACTGCTGCATTTAATCTATTTGCCCACAAAGTCTGGCTGCATCGTGGCCGCTTATTTAGGGTGGATTCCCAAAGTGGGAGTCTTCTGGAGTCGTGGTTTGGTGAGCCAGCGCGGTTTCCCTCAGAGCTGGCAGTGGCTGCTCTGGGTGGGGTGCTGGGAGGCTAGGCCTGCTGACAGCCCTCCAGTGCCAGCAGCTGACGAGTGGCTCGCTGCCCATCACTCACGTAGGACACCACCTTCAGGCCCTGGCCTGCTGGGGAGGAGAGCAATTTCCTCATTTTAACCCACAAGGAAATCAACCCTTTTGGCCTTTCTCCCAGGGTCATGGTGAAGCCCAAGCAAGATAAGAAGTTTTTAAGTGCTTTATAAGCAGGACCTCTCCAAACAAACAGAAACTACACCCTGTAAAGGTGGTATTTTTCTGATTATGGTAGTAATTCTAGCTCAGTGTAGGTTTTGGAAAGTGCACAAAGTAAGAACTTAACACGTCCAGTTGTTTTAGAAGAATGTTGAGAGACGGGAACACTACCACATTCTGCATTTGCACTTCTCTGGGTATATAGTTTACATCAATGAAATATTTTTTGAAAGAAAGAAAAGAAAAACACCCGAAATCACCAACTCTCACATCTCCAGCCTTGTTGTCTTAATAACATCTACCTACTGAAGGGTTTTATACTTTACAAAGCATAGTTTCTCCTCATCACCATAAATTCAATAAATTCTCGAGGTGATCTTTATTAGGACCCCACTTTTCAGATGGGAAAGGGGTCGCAGGCCTTATACAACTGGTAAGTAGCAGAGCTTGCCTTGTCAACCAACCCGTTGCTCAGGTGACTACCAAGACATGTAGCATGGCTCTCGCTTAGCAAAAAGAGCATTTGACCTCCAGTTGTGTGACCTTGAACCTGTGTGCGGTGGCAGCTGTGAGATGGCCCCCGATGATCCCCACGTCCTAGTATTCACACCCTTGTTTAATTGGCTCCCTTTCAGTGTGGCTGAATTCTACCTAACAGAACGCTGGAATAGGGCAAAAATGATGGCTGCCACTTTCAAGATGAAGTCATAAAATGATTACAAAAGAAAGATGAAAGAATTGTAGTCTCTCTCTCTCTCTCTCTCTCTTTCTCTCTCTCCCCCAACCCTTAAGCCTTGGGATGGCTGGTGGAACCAACACCTTGAGAGTGACAGTCCTGCAGTCTTGGGAGAGACCCTGAGCCAGAGGCCCCCAGCTAAGTGCTGCCTGGATTCCTGACCCAGAGAAACTGTGAGGAAGGTGTTTCTTGTTTTAAGCCCCTAAGTGTTGGTTGATTTGTTCACAGCCATACATAACCAGTGTGCCTTGCTAAATAATTGTTATCAAAAGCTTGGTGGGGGAAGTGACTTCCATGAAGGCCTCCTGACCAAAGAATCTAGAGTCCGTGCATGTCCCTAGACATTCTACGACATTCCTCTTCTTAAAGAACCAGCTCTTGGTTGTGTTTTCTTCCTTATTTCCTTCCTTTAGGCTTATGAATTATTTCTTTGAGTGTTTTTTCACTTTATTGCTCTTTTTCTAGCTTCTCAAGTTGAATGTTTAGTTCATTAGTTTTTCATCTTTTTTTTTTTTTTACTAGTAAATGCATTTAAGGCTATAAATTGTCCTCACGACCACTTTGGCCACATCTCATAGGTTTTGAGATGTTCTGCTCAATATTCTTAATGTTACCCTTGAATCAAGCCAGATAATCAGGTAGTTATTCTCAGCACTTAGTACATGCTTAATAAATATTTCTTGACAACTTCTTACTGAAAGCAAAATCATCATCGTCATCATCATCATTGGGGAAGAGATGGAAAGTGAGACATCCATAACACAAGACTGGCTAAGCTGATGATGCTACAAAAATATACATGAACTATTATGCAGCCCTCGAAAATCACATTTCTTGAAGATCAATTATGTCTACAATTCCTTGCTCATGGTGCAATATTAAGTGAATAAAACAGTGACAGAAGTGGGTTCCCAGGGCTTCGTATGGGCCCTTAAAGAACTGCCCTTACTGAACTGTGCATGGAGCCACCAGGCTGCAACTCAGGCCATGGTGAGGAGCAGCCATAACAAAGGAACTGGTGTGTGTACCTCTGGGGTTCCAAGAGGAACGTTGCTTAGCTGGCCACACAGGGTCTCCCTAATGTAACACAAGCACGTGAGACTTTATCTAAATACATGGGATTGAGAGTATGAAATACAGCCAGGCCTTAAGCAGACCAAGTCTAGGTGGGGAGACTAGCTTGGACACAGGAAACAACTAGAAAACAATTAGTTAAGCCCCCCAGTCATAGGCTTCAGAAGGTTCCAGACTTCTGGGGTAGGAGGGGTCCTGGAATGTCATTTGGAGGACATTACAAGATTAGAACCCAGTTCTGCCACTTGCCAGCTGCGTGACCACAGGCCCAGTTCCTTAACCTCTCTCAGCTCCATCTCCTCTATAAAAAGAGAACCATGAGTCTTATGAGGATTACGGGAGATAAAGCCTGGCACTTCTTTAATAGTTAACAGATATTATTCATCATTATTATTATTACCAGGAGCCCAGCGCCCCACCTGTGTTGGCTGTGCGGGAGGCAGTTCACCCATCCCCATAATGGGACCGGCTCCATTATAACTTCCATGAGCCTGAGGCACTTCTGCCCCCATGGGCCCCTTCCTCCACTAAAAGATATTTATACATATACTTGTATATATGCACACATACATAAACACACACACATATATAATTATATTTTACAAGTGCATTCAATGAGTATATCAAAGTTATATATAAAAACATTTTTTTCTTGGGGGTTGGCAAAATGGGTGAAAGGGGTTAAAAGGTGCAAACTCCAGTTACAAAATAAGTAAGACCTGGGAATGGAATGTGACCATGGTGACTGTAACACAATAATACTGTGTTGCACACTTGTAGGCTACTTAAAGAGTCAATCTTAAAAGTCCTCATCACAAGAAAACAAAAGTATAATTATGTGTGGTGACAGATGGTAAGTAGATTTAGTATGATGATGATTTTGCAATGTATACAAATATCAGATCATTATGTCATACACTTGAAACTAATATAATGTTCTATGTCAACATTATCTTAATTTAAAAAAAAAGAAAAAACATTTTCTTCCACCCAAAAGTTCATTTTCTTATGCCGATTTTACAAGAAATTAAAACATGTCAGTGTGCCTCTAAGATGTCCTGGGCCCAAGGCACCCTGCCTGCTGCACCCAGTGGAGAAGTCGGCCTGTGGGTCCCAGTAACTTCGCCCACTGGCCTCCTGCTGTTGGGGGACTTTGGTCCTGAGGTCTGTGAGATCCCTACTTATCTCCTCTCCTGTCCTCCTCCTCCCCGTGGACAAACAGCTCCACACGTCAGTGATACGGTCCCTGCTCACCCCTCCCCAGCATCCTCTGGGGTGACAGAAGGGGCAGGTTGGGGGCATGGAAAGCACCAGGCTTTTGGTATCAAACGGGTCAATGTCAGGCCTGGCTTTGTCACCTACAAGTAGCCACGGTGAGTCACTTCAAGCCTGTCTCTTCATCTGTGAGGGGGAGCTAATAGTACCTTCTTCATGGGGTGATTGTGAGAATTTTTTAATTTTTTTAAATTACTTGTCTTTTCATGATCCTGTGCCTATGGGGCACATAATGGTGCTACAATTAATAAATTAAATAAATAAATGTCTTCCTCTCTTCCATTGGAAAAAAATTTCTAAATGAGTAAAGTCTCACCCAAGACAGTGGGCCAGGTGTCCCGGAGGACAGTGGAGAGAGCAGGAGCACGGAGGACTTTGCGATGAGCAGCGTCCAGCAGTCCGGGCTCTGGCTAGCCGGCACCTTCCTTCCCCTGCCCCTCTCCTTGGGAATCCAGCGCCCCCCTTCCCAGAGATGGGGAGGCCTGGGACGGGAGCATGGGGTGGGAAGAAGGATGCTGGTGTCAGCCTCATGTATGTTCCAAGGGGCCAGATGAGCCTATCAGTAAGTTAGGGGCCCCATCTTTCCTGGACTCATGGTCCAGGCCTTCCAGCCCTCGTGGACTATTCCCATTCCCAGTCTTCCTGCAAGGGTGTTAGCCTCAGGCACAGGGAGGCCTTTCTATAGCTGTGCGATCTTGGA